TATTATAGAATCAAACGCGTGAAATCAAAAATTAATTTTGTGCTTCGGGAAAAAATGACAAATTAAATAAGCTCAAAATATAGTCACCAAACGGGCCCTTAATAGTCGTCTCGAAATAATTAATGTATTGTATCATCATAACATAATAATTAAATAAGTTTTTGACATTATGGATGAATTATGTTTTCACTTTAGTCATAAATAGTATTTTGTATGAACAAAATTACTTTCCTGAATAATTGCTTATGTTTTCACGTTATCACGTACGTATAGTATTGTTACTATACGGCTCTTATTTCATTTGAAAAAAATTGTTTTTATTTTTCAATCTTTTTTTCTTTAAATGCTTTTATTTTTCAATCTATTCCCTTGAAATATACATTTCGTCAGTTTTTATCTATTTTTGTGATCCGTGTATGTTTTCAAACTAATATTCACACTTACTAATTAGGCAAATATATTCAAATAAAGTATATATTTCTGTACAAGATATAGGATGAATAATGAATTAGTCATGTTAGTACGTTTAACCTTTCTTGCTCTTTGTACAATTGTACTTGTACTCCGTATAGGCGTATACATATCTAGGATATGAGATTAAAATATTTTGTGTTAAAATTTCAAAAAATACTTTATACTAGTTTAATCCAATATAGATGTCTATTGTTGAATATGTTGTTTTGTTGATGACTAACCATACAGGTGGAACGGCGGACAGAACCGCTCACAGTTCCTTAAGCGACAAAGGACAAAACTAGTTCATGTGCTTACATGATATAATTTGTGATTTAATTGGTGCACTCTTGGATTAATATGTGTGTACGTAATATAGCTTTTCATGCATGACCAAATTGACACCCACTTAAGTAATTGTGCTTTTAACTTTATAAAAATTAATTGTGCTTTTTACTTTATGGAAAGTAATCTTGACTTGCTTGTAATATAAAGATAGTTGGCTTGAATTAATATATTTGCACCTACTTAATTATCTTTCGTATTTGGGTGCATGATTTATTTGGTTACTAGCTAATATACTTTCTTTATGTGAGCCCAATTCAAAAAGACCACTTACTTAGTCAAGATTATTATAATAAGGCAAGAATATATTTTTAGTGCATGACTTGTTAGAAATCTATGGTATGGCCGTTGCATCCTTTCTCATATGGAATGATTTCCTACCTTTTTGAAAGTTGACCAAAGCTTGCTCTCTTTGATAATTAATTCAAAATACTTACACGTGATTTGAACGGGCAATTTGTGACTATGTTGCTACCTTGAATATATGAATATTAAATGTTGGATATTTTAATTTGACTGCCTTATATATTGAGCTCGGATATGGGAAATATTATGAAAGGAAAGCAATTCAAAATATCAAGGCAAGTCCCAAAATTAGAAGATCAACTATTCAAGGAAGGATGCTAAAACGGTCTGTCAAGACAGCCTATATAAACGAAGCAGCCAAAGACAAATAGAGAGAGCTTGACCGAGAAAATATCAAGAGAAACACTCAAGAGAAATACCAAGTTCAAGGCGCCAGAAACTGCCCACACGGAGTTCTAGATAGAGTTTTTCTTTTCCATTTCAAATTGTACTTGGAATATTGAGGCTTAATTGGCTAGAGTAGCTGCCTCGGGTTAAGTGTGTGTGAGAGCTTTGTGATAAAGCTGAGAGGCTCTCTACCCGCAAGGTAGAGATGCATAACTCTTCCTAGAGAAGATAGAGTTGGGGAGGCTCAAGGGTAGATTAGGAGAATCACTCTTGTAACTCTTTCAAAGGCTTGTTTAGTGAAGTTGTTTAAAATTCCTCCGAGGGAGGTCGAAGTTTTTTATTCCCTTTGAGCCAAAGGATTTTTCCTCGTTAAATTCTTGTGCACTTTACTATTTCGCAATTCCCTTTATCTCACACTAGAATTCGGCGAAAAACTGCCACGGTTCCACACACAATTCACCCCCTCTTGTGTTGCTAACCGTTTTCATCATCTGTCTACGCCACTGTCCGTATATCATACGGAATACGGAGTAAGTGATACGATAGTACATTGTTTCATTATTCAAAATTTGATACTATATGACGTACGCTAATGCGTTCAATCCGTATTTCTGTCCTGAATTTACGCACTTAAAGAATTACACCATGTTTTTTACTGTGCTGAACGTAGAGGCTAGGAATAATAATGATTCCAAATGATGATTTTTCTTTTATATTGACATTCATGTACGGCTGTGTTTCGAAAACATAAAATGGTGTCACTGCATACGAAATAATCTAGAGACCCTTTAATAAATCTGAAATTTGTTTATGCGACTGATTCTGCTAAAATTTCTGAAGTGCTGGTTGAGGTGACTGTAATTGTTGATTCTGCTTATTTATGAATAAATTATATTTACAATATATTTTATTAATCAAATAAAGATAAAACTATATTAAAAATAGCTAAAATTGTCATATGCAATAACCAGGGCCGGTCCTGAGATTTTGAAGGCCCTGTGCGAAATTAAATAAAAAGGCCCTAAATTATAAAAAAATATTTCCCTCCATATCAATGTTAAAGTTAAATCCTCTCTATTGATAATTAATTCAATTCTAATACGGAGTAATTAAATTTACATATTCAGAAACTACATTAAAATTTCTACAATGCTCCAAAATCCAAGATAAAATTTAAATAAGAATTAATATCCCGATTAAGTGAATAAAGTCAATTTTACAACTCAATTTGGGATCAATGGAATATTATATATAACACATGTAGTGAAAATAATGCACTTAAAAATAAAAAAGTAATTATAAAATGTAATGAAAAACTTATCTTGATTGCTATAAAAAAATCATAATAAAAGAAATCCAAATTAATAAAAATTGATATAGATAACTATAAAGAAATGAAGAACGTAACTTACAAATTAAGTATATTCGGGGAAAATTGATAGTAATAATCCTAACTATTGGCGATCCGCTCATAATAATCCCAACTATCGATTATTTCAGAATAATCCCAACTATAGGGACCTTCTGCCAATAATGGTCCCTATAAATAAATTTTTGTAGTTTTTAAAGTGAATGAGAAGAGATATAGCAAGTAATCCATATAAATAATCCCAACTTTTAATTTTTACGCTTAATTTCTATTTAAAAATAAATTGTTATAGGAGGTAATATATGGTCATGGACCATTGTTGGCGGACGGTCCATATAGTTGAGATTATACAAAAATAATCAATAGTTGGGATTATTGTCAACAGACCAGGAATAGTTGGGATTATTATTTTCAATTTTTCCTATATTCGGAGTACGGTAGTATAGTAATGTAATAGCAATAATACCGTAATTAACTTACCAATAAGTATATATACGTATAGGAATACAATAAACGGATGTAATTTTTATTGATTTCGCTCAAGTATTTGTTCTAATAATGTCCATCATATTGCGACTAGACAACTTGGTAAGTTGGGATGTATTTAGCTTCTTTCTGTATGTATTACTCTAACTATTGCCTATTGGGCCCTCCGTGAACTTGGGCCCTGTGCGACCGCACTGCCTGCACAGCCCTTGGGCCGGCCCTGGCAATAACTTCAGTCAATACAACCTGAAAAATAAATTCAACTAACTTTTTCTTAGGGTAATTTGAGTTTGCACCCCATATTCTTGTCTAAATTGGACTTTGCACCCCATTTTTAAAACTCTTTGTTTTTGCACCCCAACCTAGGCCTGGACTCGGGCCGGGCGGCCCGGCCCGGCCACTGTAGCAACCGGCCCGGCCCGGTGGCCCGGTCCACCGGCGGTTCGGGTCGAACCGGCCCGGTGGTTCCCGGTTCCGGGCCCGGGCCTCCCATATGGTGAACCGGCCCGGCCGGTTCGGGCCCGGTCCGGGCCGGAAATAATTTTTTTTTTTTTTTTGAAAATTTCTTATGTTTTGGGTTAGATTAGGTATTTTGGTCCATTTGAGGTGGTTTGGGGTGGTTTGGGGTTGAGAAAGAGGGGTAGGGGATTAAATAAAGAAGCCAAAAAAAAGAAAAAAAAATAGGGCGGGTGGCCCGGCCCGGAACCGGCCCGGTCTGGCCCGGAACCGGCCCGGAACCGGCCACCCCCGGTTCGGGCTCGGGCCTCAATATTCTGAACCGAGGCCCGGCCGGGCCCAGGCCCGAGGCCCGAACCGGCCCGGTTCAGTCCAGCCCTACCCCAACCTCATAGGAAAAGACAAAACTGCCCTCAATATGGAATATGTTGAAGGTCAACAGAATAGTTAATTGAGGGGCATCTTTGTCTTTTCGTATGGGGTTGGGGTGCATGCAAAAAGAAAGATTTTTTAAAACGGGGTGCAAAGTCCAATGTAGACAATAATATGGGGTTCAAACTCAAATTACCCCTTTTTCTTATTATTTCACAATTTAGCGCCCAAAATAAAAAATTACGTGTTTGGTTAAAAAGTTGGTTGATAACATTAGAATGCATTTGATAACATTGAAATAGGTTGAACCGGCTGATAATCTGAAATTTATGAATTTCTGGGTAAAGTAGTTAAATTGGTTGATTATGATGATTTGTGAAAAAATTAGATTTAAAATATAGTTTTTTAATAAAAATAAAGAAAAAATTATAAGAAAAATAGCTAAATGATCTTTTATAGTAGATTGGTAACTTCTGACAGGAAAGTAGCTCTGATTGTACTTTTTTACACAATTCAACGCGCATAACCAAAAAATACACATTTGGTGAAAAAGTAACTAATAAGGATGATAAGCCGAAAAACATGATCACAAAACGGACTATTAATGAATTTCTAATTCTTCTCATTTGAAAAAAAAATAGATTCATGGAGTTGCGATTTGATCATTTCTCAATTCCAATTAAAAAAAGATGAAGTAATTCTATATACTGTAAAAGGTAGGGAGTATGTTGTACTTCCTCCGTCCCGAAAAGGTTGGTCAAAGTAAAAATTGTGTGGTTGAAATTTGTGCAGAGGAGAGAGAATTAGTTTTAACCACATATTCCTTACTTTTTTTTTTTTTTTGAACAGTAGGGCGTCAATAGATAAAGGCTCTTACACTAAAGAAAAAAGATAATCATTTTAACCATCACTGACTAATATTGTAGAGTACAGCTTTGAGTACGATGAATTTCACAACATAAAATTCAATACATCGAAGATGCTAATTCACGAACTTCAGACACAACCTGATCATAATCTTCTTTCAATTTCTCTTGATCTTCTTGATTCATATCTCCCTTGGTGGGCTTGGTCAAGACCAATACACAGCAAGTTGGCCTTTTAGTAGCTCCTGCATTTGCAAGATCTTCTTTTGACTGAACATAAACATACGGGATCTCAGCTTCTTCGCATAAGATAGGAACATGGGTGATCACATCAATGGGAGATATGTTCCCCGCAATCACATAGAATCCTTTGTGGCCTCGACGAATGCTTTTGACTACCTCCTTTACACCTCTCTTCAAGCACTTGTTCTCCGCAGCTCGACGGACGAGTTTGAAAGTGCGCTTGCTGAGCTTTTTACCGGCTAGAGGTTTTGCAATAGGAGCAAGAGCTAATAGCTTCTTCTTCTCCCTCTCTTTCTGGGCCGATTTCTCTGTTTCGCTATCGCTGCCCATCTTCTATCTTCTGCCACTGAGCTAGGGTTTCACCACATATTCCTTACTTTAAATGGAAATAATCAATCTTTTTGGGACATCCAAAAAAGGAAATTTGGCCAACCTTTTCGGAATGAAGAGAGTAGTAAACTAGTACTAATTTCTCCGGTAGAATATGTGATTGTTTTTTTTGTAAAAAATGGTATTTGTACACAATTTGTGTACACCTTCTAGTTGTCTCTCTACACAAGCAATTTGTTTAGGAACTGTCTTGTAGACTGTCTTGTAGACAGACAACTGAGAAGGGTGTACACACAATGTGCACAAAAAGTGTGTACACCAAACAACACTCTTTTTTGTATATCTCACATTGAAGATCGAGTTATACTTTGCGAGCAGCCCATGGTGAGCATCGTACGCATAGTAACACACGTGAACAATACGTTTTTTGTTTTTTTTGTAGCAGAGTGATGGAACTCTCCTTTACAGAAATATAACTCACATTGATAAGAAATGTAATTGCATGCATGTCAAAATTAAAATTTTCTAATACGGAGTATAAGAAATAAAATATTTATTTCAATGTAAACAATGAAAAAAGGAGTCTAATTACGTTGCTCAATTACTTTACGTAAATAGTGAATATGTCGTGATATTGATATCAGGGCTATAAAATGATTTTTAAAAATCATATTTTTTTTTGTTTCAATAGCAAGGGTTTGTTTTGTGATGTAACTCGCGTTATAGAAAATGTAACTCGCGATTGATGGAAAATGTAATTTATGTGTATGTAAAATGTAACTTTTTGCGGCAAGTTCAAATGTAACTCATGTATAAGAAAATGTTATTCACGCATAAGAAGGTTTAACTCGCACATAAAAAAAATATAACTCATGATGTAACTCACGCTTAGGAATATGTAACCCGCACATAAAACTGTCTGTCATGCGGATACCTATAGGCTTTGCGGCCTCACGACTTGGACTCAAAATAAACTAAGTAAAATAATAATATTTAACTCTAAATGGATTGATCAAAGAAGGGCAATGGATTGAGTAATTAGAAATGAATATATTCTTGGACTTAGTAATTTAGGGGTATTAAAACTAAAATTAGACTAATAATTTCTTTCCTCATAGACAAGAATAGAAACTATTTTCATTAATTTATCCTATTTCTAGGTGTCATTAATGTGTTCAAAATGGTTGGCTTGAATTAAATTCTAATCCCATAAACAAGGTAGAAATAATTCTCCAATATTTTAATTAATATAAATAGCCAAATTCACTAACTAGTTAAACTCCGCCATGAGATCAATTTTTTGGTTTCATGCTTGTCCCAAGCCAGGATAAAGGAGGAGAGTGTTGTGGTAGGCGCGTGACGGCCAACATTATCACCTAGTCACATCACATGACATGAATCGAAATATGAATAAGGCTTGGATGTTGTTGTTGGTGTTGTAGACAAGATGTAAATCCCTTTCATTAAAATATCCTATTTCTAGGCCTTAATAATGTGATTGAATATGGTTGGCTTAAATTATTTTCTAATCTCATAGACAAGTTAGAAATAATTTTCCAGGAATGTGATTAATGAAGATGGCTAACAATTATTAATTACTATTCACCATTTCAAACAACTGGTCCAAATGATTAATTTTAATCCCTAATTTTCGGTCAACAAGTCAATCCATATTCCTTTAGTCAATTCATGCCCAAAACAAATTTAGCTAATAAACTTCATTTTTTTCATTTAACAATACAATGAACAAATTCAACATTAACAAGGAATTAAGCATGTATAATAGCAAAAATTAAAAAAAAAATGCCAAAATAAACTTTTAGGAACTAAAATATAACTTTCTGGAATTTTTCACGAATTTACTAACCTAAAATACAATTTTAACAACTAATTGATAATTTCCCAATATTAACTAGAAAATGCAATAAGTTACTACAAATAGTCAAAATTCCTTCTAAATTTTCTATTAACTACTGGGAGTGATATTGCAGTGAATTAAACTGATAATAAACCGTAACTATTTTTTTTTTTTTGCTATTTTTGAGTAATTATTTTTATTTAAGCAATAATATCAACTAATTACCGAAATTAATTAAAAATTACTACTGCTTCGTGAAAATTAACTTTCTTCAGATAAATAACTACCTTAAGGCTAGTAAACAACTATATATTTAATTGGAATGGATTCAATATCGACAACTGTTTTATTCAAATTTAAGAAGAAAATGTGAAATAGTGAAATAATTTTCTGGAAATTTTGGAAGCACAAATAGAACAAAAAAAGTACAGATTCAGATTCTACACGTTGAAAGGATGAATATACATATAAAGAACTCACAATTTGGAGCTAAAATGAGAAAGATATGAAAGATTGAAATTGGAGGTGCAACAATGGTGGAAATCCGAGTTTAGAGGGGGAAGAAGACGCCCGTTTTGATCTGATTTGGGCTTGAAAATGGTATATTTGAGTTGTGGAAAAAGTCTGGTATTTATAGCACACAAAATCTCGTAGGCCTTCAAATAGGCGGCCGCCCTTCGTCCTCATCCAACAACCTTTCGTCGCATCACCGGCGGAAGATCGTGCGCGCGTCGCCTCGCCGCAGGCGGCCAGATTTGAGGGCCTTCTAAAACGCCTACCATCAATTCTCACCGTCCGGTTGTTGGTTCTGTCGCTTTGTGCCGCAAAAGGCCACCAAGGGCGGCCGCCCTCCGTCCGGTGTCGGCAGCCTTCAGTCTTTTTTTTTTTTGTTTCCGGTCAAAGTTTGACTTTAATTTCATCACAGGCGGCCATTTAGGCGGCCAGATTTGGGGGCCTTCTGGACCGCCTATGGATAAATTTCTCCGGCTTGTACTGTATTTTCTTCTCTTCAAATTTCTCCTCTGGACCACTTTGATATTATGTTTCCTTCTTTGGATATGATTCATTTATTACTCAAATTAACTCATTTTGTGCTCAATTGACCCAAAATTTCACCAAACATATTATGAATGTGATTTTCACATGATTTCATAAAACTTGAACCAAAATATCTAAAACATGCCTTGTTTTTCTATTTTCTATCCAAAAATAGCTTAATTTTGATAAGAAAAATAAGTACAAAATGAACTTATCAGCTCTCAAACAACACAGACTGCAGCGGTGCACTAATAGTAGGAAGCACATGGTCTTCATAACCCTCATTAGCACAGAAGTGAAGTATGAATCTCAAATCCTCATGTTCAAAATGTATCACAAACGCCTCCTTTCCTCACTCGAATGTACCATGAAAATTTTGAGCACCTCCTCTTGACTCACTATCACTCTCCATGAATGCATCCCAATTCGTTTTGTCACTCTTCTTATTAATATCCTCCAAGCAGTTGTGATCATTCTCCACACAAAAAGAAATATCATCGCCAATGAATGGATCACAGAAATCCAAATTTGAAACCATGTAAGAGTGGATCGGTGCATGTGTACTAGGGGAGTAATCTTGCTTGTGGAGCATGACTTCTTCATTAGGGACATCATCTACCTCGCCCCCACTCTCTTGGAGTTTGTGATCATCTTCTCCAAATTCATCTTCAATACTCAAACTTACTTCAGTAGCACCATCAACATGACTGATCTGCTTCATGCCCTCATCAGGTGTAGAGACTAGTGGTACATCAAACTGCTGGGGAGTTTCTGTACGAAAATCACTGTGATCTGTGACTTCATCCGTTACAGCTTGTACCGTTTGAAACTTTTTCCTGTATTCTTCGACAAACAACTCGACATTACTATCTTCTTGGTCAAGTTCAGACATAGGTGGGTCTTCAAAAGCATCAGGAAGTGAATCATTCATCATATTCCCACCATCATAGTCTGACTCGCTCACATATACATGATCATCCCTATTGGTCTCCTCGGATTGGACTCCTACCAGGTGACTTCTTATGGTATTTATATCCTTCATCATGGCATAAGTTCTCTGCGTTATGGCTAAAGTGCTCTGCGTTATGGCTGAAGTGTTCTCCCTCATCATCTTTGTGTACTGAGACAGAATCTTTGAAAGTGTCTTCTTATATTGACCCTGTGGCTCATTACATGGCAAGGATGTAGGAGTGGCTCAAACTGTCAAACATGTGTGCTTGTAAATTGTGGGGAGGAAGAAGTGGGGTATGCAGTTGGCCAGTAAGGATGGTCATAAGGAGGTTTCGGGGCAAAAAGATATATGGTGACATCCTTTACAGAAAGAACAAATATTATTTTTAGGCATACAAGGTTGCGTGGTTGGAGGGTATGAATAAGGGAACTGATAATTTTGTGGTGTAGGAGAGTAATTTTGATGAGGAGAATAATATTGATGATGAAGGTAAGGAAAATATGGTGTGTAGGGTGAATATTCCATGGAGGTTTGATAGTAAGGAATTCATCCAGGAATTTGGCTGAAAGGGTTCATCTCATTCCTCTTTGAAAACTACCTGAAAGGTTAGCACAGAAAAATCCTACGAAGAACAAAAAGAAAACTAACTAAAAAAACCGACACCGTCCCCGGCAACGGCGCCAAAAACTGATGTGAGTTTTCTCGCACTTAAAAAGATCGTAATATAGTGGTGTTAGTATGAGTATCGTCTCCACAGGGACGGACAAATTGGAATTAAGAATTAACCAAATCCAGTGATTAAAAATAAAATAAAATAAAATAAATGCGTCGTGCGAGATATGATTGGTTTGGAAAATTAAACTAATGCGAATGAACGATAAAAATAAAAGATTGGTTTCTCTCTAATTAACGACGAAGGGAATAGGGATTGATTCCGGGGTAACCAGATTTCTGGCAGATCAGGCTTAATTACATGAAATTAATTTAATTGAGCCTTAATCATTACTAAGTTCTTACCGCTCTCGCGGCGTAGAGTACAATAAATTAGGGGACCGGGCTGATCCCTCATGCGACAGGATCCTAAAATATTGCCAAGACGAGTGAGCTTACGGCCCCTTAATCGCTACTAATCTCTTAGCGAACGATTAAGTGTGTGTGATGGTGTCCTAGAATAAATTAGATCTCTCTTAACTTATTC